TGAAATATTTATACAAACTTTTAATTTATGTACGAAAGTATGCTTTCAGGCGTTAAATAAACTGCAACATTTATATCGATATACGAAATACATAGGAAATACAATATTGTATAAATATATATTGTATATTGTATATATATTGTATATATATTATATATTGTAAATATATACACTGCACCCGTATAATTCCTTCGTATGAATATATACTGTATAACATATTATGCTATTATTTTGTCCTCATTTATTATATTTGAAGTTTTAAATATTTATTTATTATATATTTACTTTTATATTTAGCCTTTCATACTCCAAACAGTATTATAATTTTAATATATGAGCTGTTTTGCAGTTATTTTGATTGCATCTCTCTCTCTCTCTCTCTCTCTCTCTCTCTCTCTCTCTTTAATGTAATTCTTTGAAATGGAAAACAATATCAATATACTGAGAGACAGTATTTTACATTTCTCCCTCTAAAAACACTTTTAAATAAAGTAGTAGTGCTTTAAATATTAGCCAATTTCAAAAGTACCGGTGCTTTAGGAGGAATTACGGGTAAGGGAGGGAAGAAAGAAAAATATCAATATTTTTCTATAAATCATTCAATATTCATAAATCCAATGCTAAACCATAGCCCACACTTTAATCGAGTTTAAAATACATACACTATGTCTGACACTCAATCAAAATAAAAAACACACAAATATATTGATCACAAAACCTGACAGTATATTAAACATGTTATCATAAAAAATCAAATATCGTACAGTGTATATACTTTTGTAGAGATTAATGATGTCCTCTAATCATAAAATATATAAAGAAATATATTTATAAAATTTTAAAACTTTTACGTAAAATGTTTAATAAATATGTAAATAATTTAAAATGTTTTTGTATAAAGCATCGAATTGTTAGTAATGAATGAAAGTTTATTTAACTCAACGTTTTAAATAATATATTACATGATAAATACACTTTTTTGAAGTCACAAAGTTTTCAAAAAGCCAAATTAATTATTAATGAAAAATATTTTACGTTTAATACGAAAAACAACACAAACACTGTTTTTGTTGGATATTATAAAGCGTAAAGTGTATTGAAATATATGACAAAAACATATTTTTGTTTAAAAATGAAAACAAAGAGTAAAAATCAATTATTTTAATGGATATCAAAGTAGAGAAAGAGGACAAAAATATTTCGTTGAGTATTAATGAGTTTGAAAAGTGTTTCGGAAAAGAGTCGAGAAATATATTTGAGTCAAAGAGTAGCCGAGAATCCATTCGTCAGTTTAATTGAGAATTATATGTGTTTTAGTGGAGAGAGAGAGAGAGAGAGAGAGAGAGTGAGTGAGTGAGAGAGAGAGAGCACTACCGTTCAATAATATAAGTCCTCAATACTAGAGTCGGGTATTGATTGTATGACTTTTAGTGGGCACTGAATATATGGTATGAAAAATAAATATATAATAAACAGATGGAGAGAGAGAGAGATGTTAACATTTTCTACGCTATGAAATGAAAGAAATATCTTATAGTTTAAGACAAAACCTAAAAGACTAACAGAAAAAGGAAATAAATACTAAATACTAATCAGTAGTGAAAGTAAAGTCCAATTTCTTATTATAAATCAATCTATTGGTTGTTTAATGTAATAAATATTTTATAAATTCAGTGAAACTTTTGTTGCTTAAAACTAACTTGTAAGTATTAATGTATTTGATTTAAATTTTTAATTCAAAAATTAATGTTTAGATCAAGTGTTTTAATATATAAATCAGTGAACTAAATATTTCATATGTTTTGTTGAATTATTACATTTGTTTTGCCTAAATATAAATATATTTTGTTTTTAATTAAATTAAGACTTATTATATCATACAATAAACATATGTTTTTACATAACATTTATATTAAAAGAGATCAGAGAAGAGTCATATAATTGAAGTAATAGTGAAGTACTTTATAATCAAAATAAATATAAAGTTATGTTATTTTACTCATGAAGTGAAGAGTACTATAAAAGAGACTTTCATTATATTAAAAGTTTTTTCGCAGTTCTTTAATAATTAAACCATAAAAACATTACATGAGATATACTATACAAACAGTGGGTTGAGAGGAATGGTAGGGATGTTGTGCTAACACTTGCACTCCTCTGACAACAACTAAATTTTCAGGAATAGTATGTTCTGTATATATGGGAGGGTTAGGGGAAAGGGATAACACTTTCATTTCATTGAATCCGCCAAACAATTAATGCACAAAAAAAACGAGAAAACGGATCACAAGAAAGAGAGTGTAAAACAAAACATCACTAAAATCGGAGAGAAAGAGAGAAAAGTTTTTTCTGGTTTTGTTTTTTGCGATACATTTCAATACATTTTGTGCGGAATAGTCAGACAAACATCAGTCGAGAATCGGTTCAATAAATACCCGAAACAACGGTTGAGATGAGAGAGAGAACTACAGTAACTGTTGTTTCGGCTCTCAGTCGCACACCGATAGGTTTTAAGTGTAACTCCGATGTTCACCAATGTTGCCACATCTTCTCTATTTCTAACTACCGGTGCCCTGTATTCTCATATTCTTACTCTCCTTAAAATCTTAAACTATAATACAGTATTTCTGTAAACATACCTTTCATTAGGAAATAGAATATTAACCATTGGATTAGAAACGAATATAAATTCCTGGACATCATATTCTTCGTGAACGGAATATTCTTATTGTAAAAGTGCAGTCAATCTTATTTTAAACTATTAAGAATTTTTTGTAAAAACTAAAAATATAAATGCATTAGTTTAAAAACTACTGGCACAATATTAAACATTTAATATGTTAATTAATCCCTTTGCTTCAGAAAACCTTTTTTTATGAACATTATAATAGATGTATTTTTAGCTTTGTGAACATAGCTGATAAAATAAAACTTTTTAAAAATATATTTTTATATGTTGCACAATATATAACTTTTGTGTTTATTGTAAATTTATACTTTTATTTATAATGTATACATTAAAATTTTTGTAGTTATGATTTTGAAAGCCAATTGTCATAACTTCTTATAAGTAAATGAGAGAAAAGGCGAGACTTTTATTATAAAACTCTATAATAAACGACTGAATCTTTAGAATGAGAGCACAAACACAACAACTGAATGAATATATTGTGCGTCCGAATAGAGCATCCCTTCCAGTGCTCTATAATATGCGTTATATCGTGGAAAGGCATGCGCTTCACAGCCTCCCTGTGCTCTCTGTCATAATAACTCTATTCCTATTCAGATTTTATACAAACTTTCTATTACCTATCTTAGGGTTAAATAAACTTTTCTCTGAAATAATAAAACTTTTTAAAACATTTATAGCAAGGAATCTGAGAACAATTGCTAACATATAAAGTCTAACAATAAAACTCGAGACAAAGCTTCTCGTAATCAACAGTCGTTTGACTAATTGTTTAAATTAGAAATCAAAACATAAATTCAGTTATAATTTTAAAAACATAAAATTGAATTTCTAAGACAATATATTGTGACACAAATTATCTCATAGTAAAGATGTCTTTTGCAGCCAAACATCTAATAGTAATCGTAATAATTTTGGTCGCATTTAATGTCAGAAGTGTCTCATCCATCAGAGTTCAGCGAAACATTCAAGATTTCGGTGACTATTCGCTCGAAGAAGTACCCATTGATGGGGTGACCGGTGATGATGGCATCGATGTGGACATCGAGGCAATGCATGAGTCGTCGGTACCGACACCGAGTGAAGACTCGGATGCCATCCTTCAACAACCAGAACAGGGAGAAGCTGTTGACCCAAATGCTAACCAATCCGTGGATACATTGGTTGATAACAACAACAACTCTAATGATAACAATACGGGTCCGGAAAGTAATGGAAGTGAAGACAACAATCAATTGGATCCAAATATAACGACAACGACCACAACAACGACGACCACAACAACGACGACAACCACAGCTCCTCCCACTACGAGACCGTCCGAAAAGCCATCAAACATTGCGTCCGTTTGGCCGGTCATTGCAATCGCCGTCATATTTGTTGTATTCGTGGTCTTCGGTCTTATCTGGTATTTAAACCATTAGTTTACTGTATCTATAATTAGTCTTAACTTCATTTGCCTCTAAAGGGGAGTCAAAAACTTTTGTGATATAAATAAAAGCGAAAGTCTAGAGGAAAGCAAAATCAACGGTAAATTGGATCAAAACTCATGATATATGCGAATAAAATGTGTAATAAATATGTATTTATATCAAAAGCGGCTAAAAATGAGGCCTCAAAAGCACCGGCAGTTGCGGCCAAGGATATGAAGCCAGAATGGGGAGCACATGAATCAAGTGATGAAACGGAGGAGGAACCGGTGGAAAAGAAGATAAATGATGGTAAGGAGTCGGCACTGGTAGCCAAAGAGATTCACACGAAAGGCAATGAAGATACTAATGATAAGAAAGAGGACGAGGGTAAAGGACCGGCAAATAAAGGGTCTGAAAGCGATAGTAAAGGGTCTGATGAGGCAAAGAATGATGAGAAAAGCCTATTAGAACAGGTAGGGGGACAGGGATCAGATTCATCCGCGAAGATACTGTTCCGCAACGATGACGATAGTCCCACACATGAGGAGACACCTGACAAAGAGGCGGACCATAAGAAAGACGAAAAGGAGTGAAAACAATTGATTTGATAAAAGTTTTTTGTGAACAAAAATTGTATTTTATATTTCTTTTTAGTTCATATTTTCAATGATTTCTTTCAATTCATATGAGTTTTCGTATAAATTATTTGTTTAAAAACAATATTAAATATATTCAAAGATTTCTGTTTTATTTTCTATTTATTTAATCTACAAAATGAAAATAAATTCTATGCAAATAAATGTGATTGATAAAATTAATGTTGTAATAATTTATTTTGCAAAATTTTGGTTTATTTTACATTAAATTAATAATATTAAAAATTTATAAATGAGGAATAAGGTCATTATAATTACAAAAGCAATTAACAAATTCAACAATTATTTGAAATAATTATTGGCTTTTTGTTATAGAAGTAATTGATCCCAATTTGAATCCGACGGCGCCTTTAGTTGAGAGATAACCCTCTTTGGTGGCGATCACCTCTTCACCCGCTTTCCCGCCTTCGATGACAACCACAATGTCGTCTTCACTCGACTTCTTGTCGTCAACTGATTTCACGTCTGTTTTCAAACAAATCAAACATTTCTTAATCAAGTTATTCATTAACAGGTTTTCCACTCATATTAGCCATACATTTGTCATATAAAGG